CCACACGGGGTCATGGGGAGGATTAACTGCCAAGGTTGTATAGCATCCGCTTATGATATGTTTGGTACATCTCAACCACGTAATGAAGGTCCATTTCCTCAACTTCTCTCCCACCTGTGCCCATTTCAAAGGCATCCCAGCTAACTGCTATGTTTTCATGTAGCCGAAACGGTGTCTCCGTTCCCTTGTCCCCTCCTTACGATGGTGTCCCTGAGGTTTGAATTTGGATCTGAGTGGCCAAATCCAAGTCTCCTTGGGCCCGAGTGCATGTGAGCTCCTGGGCAGGAAATTCAGGCTCTGGGAAACAGCAGCCTCCACGGGCCTTGCCAGGCAGCAGCCCACCTCCTGCAGGACCCATCTGCCCGCACAGCCTCCACTGTCGGCCCCCTTCAAGTGGACCCTGTTCTCAGCTGTGACCCAGAGGAGGAGGAGACAGAAGCTGGTGACCAGAGATTTCTGAAAACGCTGGCAACTAACTGGCTTCTGGTGTCCTGCTTATCAGCTGCTGGTTCTGTCAGCCTCAGGCCTGGGAAGGGGCTGAGCTGGGCCGGAGTAGGAGGGCACAAGGTAAGGGATCAGGTTACAGGAAGGCAAGAGAGGCCATCTTTGTCCCCAGAGAAGGCCCCAGCAAGAGCCATGGCCTGGACATATCCAGGATCACAGATCCATTGTTTCTGCAGCAGAGAATGGCTTTTTCTTTTGAGCGGGGGTTGGGGGGGGTGCAGCCACCACACTTCCTATAGCTTCAAGTTCTAGTCCAGAGTCCCAAACTAGGACACACAGACTCAGGGTCAGAAGAGGAGAGCCTGAAGCGAGCCTAGCTCCTGGCCCCAGGAGGCCTGGTGCAGACTTGGTGGCTGCAGTCAGCCCAACGACAGGGCACCTGCCTGCTGCCCGCCCCGAGCCCATGCCCAGGTTTCTGCTAATCTCCGGTGTTGCACCACAGCCTCCCAATGAACCCTGACCCCAATCTCCAGTCACTTGATAGTAACAATGCCTTGTCGGTGGGAGGAGGGAGAGAGAAGGGCTGATTCACGTCAGAGGTGAGGAAAGGTATCGTCACACCGACACTTCAGATGAGCTGCATGCCAGATTGGGGAGTGTCAGCGCCGAGATGATAAATATTAGCTAAGCAATTAAATTTATAGAGGCCCCCACCGGAGTTTTGGAATTGGAAGGGAAACTGGGTGCAAGGAGTCCCTGGCTTTGTTCAAAGAGCAAATGGGGTCATCCCCGGAGACCTGAGGAGCATCAGCGCCTTGGACAAGGGCAAGGCGCTGAGCTGACTTTCAATGAGCGAGAACAGGAGCTTATCCTGTGCCAGTGACTCAGCCCAGGGCTTTACAGACGGCAACTCGCTGAGTCCTCCTGATGAGTCCACAAGGCAGTATTATTATCCCCATATACAAGTGGGGAAACTGAGACACAAAGAGATGAAATAACTTACTAGTTATGGAGACCGGAACTTGAACCCAGAAAGTCTGGTTTCGGTCTGTGCTCTTCTTACTCTGACATACCATCTCCCCTGGTCCCCAGCTATGCAGGCGTAAAAATATGACCCAGCTGGTAGGGGCGTGGGTCCTCTACTAGGACCAACACCCTCTTCATTATATTTATAGAAAAATCAACGTATTTCTATGTACATATATGTAGTCTGTACACATACACATACTTAAATGTACATTTAAGTACCTACAGTGTGCCAGGATACAAATGACTTGCTCCAGGTCACACAGTAAGAGAGAGTTCATTTTGAACAGATGTCTCCTGTCTCCTGGAGAAAATATCTTTGCTGGCTTTTCACAAACACACCCCGATCCCATGCTCTCTGGTTCACTATCTCTGGGCTCACTATCAAGAAGCAAAAAAACCCCACACATTTTGTTAGGATGCCCAGGTGTCCTCAGTTCCAGAGAAGGACTTTAGCAAGGGCCTCCACCTGGACGTGCCCAAAAGCCCGGAGCAGCCCTGGAGATGTTGAAGAAAGTTGTTAAGGATTTGGACTCCTTCAAGTTTCCTGTTCCACTACCCACAGCCTGTGGTTTTCATGCTCATAGAGAAGAAAATGGTTAATCCACCTGCAGACACCTTGGCCACCTTTCAGGCAGGAAGAAAGGAAATAAAGAGAAAGGAAAAACGGCAGAGGCCAGTTGAGTCTGCCCCTCTTTATTTTGGAGAAGAGCAGCTTTCTTCGAACCCCACCGATGTCTGCCTGCATCTTGTTGTCTTCGAACCCCACCCATGTCTGCCTGCATCTCGTTGCCCGGATCCATGTAACCTGGCAACCTCCAGAATTTGTAACTGGGAACATTGCTGCCCTGGACGGAATCAGGGTTCTCTCAGAAAGAGGATCTTGGGAGGATGCTGGTCATTGCCTCCCTTCCTATGGCTTCTTCCGCCTGATTCCATCATCTGCTGACAACAGGGGCCCTTGCAGAAAGCACCATGGTCTGAGTGGCCATAGATAAGGGCTCCTCTGTCCTATGGGCTGAGATGTTAGTCTCTTGGACTGGGGTCTGGCAGGGGGAGGACAGACAGACAGACCTGGGGTTAGCATTCACAGGGGCACCTGTAAGGCCAGCTGAGCAGGTTGGTATTCTGCTGAGCGAGACTTTCTGCCCACTCCAGGTTGCCACTCCCCTTCTCTGGCCTCATAGGGCACCTTGGCAGTGGAAGAAGCTGATCGCAAGGGAAGGTGGGCACTGTGGCCGCCAGGTGGCAGCAGTGCACACTTCTGCTGCCATGGGGGACTAGGGGGTCTTCGTTCTCTGGACCCCTCTCAGAGCCCATTTGAGAACCAGCGAGCTGAGAGCTGGCACACCATCGCTGCTGCCATGTTTTATTGTCAAAGCAAGTCAGGAGGCCAGCCCAGACTCTCAGTGAGAGGAGCTGCACAATCACTCGGCAAAGGGCATGTGTACAGACAGGCGAAGACAACCGTGGTCATTCACGTACCTCGTTCTAGTCTGTAGGGTGGAGAATAGGAGCAGGGAGACCCGTCAGTAATCTTAGGGCAGCCCAGGCGACAGGCAAAGGATAGAGCCTCGACAGAGAAACGCTATGTGAGTGGACTTTCCTGAGCACCTCCCAGGTTCCAAGGGCTGGATTAGTTCTGTCTCGGAGCCTGGGAAGGCTACGTGGGCCGGAAGGCACTTAATTTCGGTTTGAAGAAGAAATAAGATTTGGGAAGCTCCCACCCAAGCAGCCTCTGCTTGGCTAGTACTCTAGAAGCTGCAAGAGGCTAGTCTGAATGCTGTCCCTGGATGGGTCGCACAGGCTTAGTCAGTGCTATTCAAGGACTTTGCTGGCGGTCCTGGCTCTATCCCTGAAACAGGTGTGGCTATATAGACACTGCCCACAAGAGGGCAGCAGAGAGTCATCAGCCTAATGGGTGCCTCCGGCTAGAACTGGGAGGTGAAGTCAGAGATCGCAACAAGCCCACATGTGGATTTTAAAACTACGCCCCTTGCAGGAAGGAGTGGTTGCTCTGCACTTAAGCACTCAGGCTCTGGAGCTAGAGGTTCGTATCCCAGCCATGGCCCCAGGGCCAGCTGCAGTCAGAGAGCCCTGTGACCCGATAGCCTCCAGGCTCCATGATTGCTTTAATGGTCAGTGTCACCATCTGAAATCCTTAATAATCTTTAAAGTAAGATGTGTTGGGGTTTCTGTTTGTTTGTTTGTTTGTTTGTTGCACGGCAAATTATGTAGCTCATCTTATCTGCCACTTACTGGCTGAGTTTTCTAGGGCCTTGTGTTATTTTTCATAGGGTTGCTAGCAAGTATTTACCTCATAGTGTTACTGTGAAGATTATTGGAATTAATACAAAATGTAACTTTTTATGAAGACACATCATTTAAGCAACTTTCAGTTACTATTATTATTTTAGGATTGAAGGGATAATCAACAGATCGCCGAAGGCTGCTCACCACCTCCACCTGTAAAGACCCATTTGACTGGCTGTCTATCAGTCCATCTACCTAGTTCCATTGCCATGGCTAGGGGACCATGAAAATGAATTTGACCTTGGTCCTGACCCCAAGGAGCCCACAGTCTAGCAGGAAAGCCGCTGGTCACTAGCTGACTTTCCTTCCTTTTTATTCCTGGTGCCAGTGACAGATGAACACGCACAAGCCGATGGCTACAAGGACTGAATTGCTGTGGCTGCCAGGATCTAAAACTGACACCTGTTCCTGTGTGTGACCTTGGAAAGGGGACTCCTCCAGCGGAGCTTCAGCCTGATGAAAATAACCACCTCCCTGCTCCAGGCTTGTCAGGTTAGAGGTGATGCTGGCCATGAACTTGCTGTGTCTGCCAACCAGGGGCTGCGCATGTCATGTTTACGACCAGATGAGAGCCCGGCAAGGTGATACCCTCCCTGCCGCCCCCCACCATCCCTGCTCAAAGCCTCAGGACAGGAATAGGGGGAAAGGCATGTTTGATAGAGTCGGTTCTACCCTGGAGCTGGGGTGTGGGGTTGGGGAAGCTGCAGGCAAATGCCGAGGGACAGGTGGCACACAGTGTGCTCAAGAGGAAAGTGCCACTCCTGAGTTGGGGGAGGTTCATCTGGGGATGGCCAGGCAACGAGGTCGCGAGAACCCCATCTGAGGGTGAGGAGGCCTCCGTTTGGCTCCAGTAGTTGGGACAATAAGTTCAGGGTGGCTCAGAGCCAGTTCCTTGCCTTCTCTGGACCTCCCTTTGTCTCTATGTAGAAGTGGCCAAGTCTCCTTCCTTGTGCCCTTCTAGCTGAAATACACTGCCACTGGCTGGTTCACGTTCCCTCTCCGCTCACTGCTCACACACGCACTGGTGGCTTCTCTCTACAGGCAGCCGTCACTCTCTGCCTGCGGGCTTTCTCTGTGGGGCGAGTCACACCGCTGAAGAGAGAATCCCTGCGTGAACGACAGTGCAGCCACCCATCGGCCACACCCTCCTGCCCTCAGAACCCCTGCTCTTCCTCCTTCCCGCTCTGAGGAGGACGGATAAGTCTCCAGCCCGAGACACAGACACTGACTTTATTCTAAAAACTGAGGCCACTCCCACCTGACAATCCGCCAGCCTCCACAGTAAGACACCTCTTTGGCCTGTGAACACTTGTTGAATTATCCCTACACTCCCCCCAATCTTCAAGGCTGCCTGGGCCGCCCATTCATAACTCGACGTGTTCTGTTTGCGGTGGCTTCTTGGCTGCTTCCTTGCTGAAGAGCTCGGCCCAGAAAGCCATTTCCTTGTCTTTCAGCTTCTGGGCCTCCTGGGTGGGGATGCCGAGCTGCAGGAACTTTTCCTGCTGGTCATATGCTGGCCAGTGGGGCAGCCCCTCCCCATTGGGGTTCCTGGGAATAGGAAAATCAAATGGAAATGCTCCAAAGTGATGCTGTGGCCTCAACAATTCTCTGAGATATGCAGTGGTCCCCCAGCTTCGTCTCTGCCAAAAGGTTCGTATGCCTCCAGAGGCGGGGTGCTCACCGTCTCCTGGACAGCCTGCCCATTTGTAGGGAGCTGTCATGCCAGAGGTCTCAGGGCCAGGCGTCTGACCACCAAGTGTTAGGAGCTACCCCTCCCCAACAGATACGCCCTGCCCCTCCCCAAGCCTGCTCCATCTCTGCTCACCCGTTCCGAGCAAAGTTGGCCCAGAATTTCATCATCATCTTGCTGAGTTTGATCTCTTCTGAGTTGGTCCCTGGAGGGAAGAAGAGAAAAAGCCGTTGCTACTCAAAGCGTGTTCCTGGGCCAGCAGCTGCCACATCTCTTGAGAGCTCGTTAGAGATTCAAAATCTGAGCCCTTATTCCGGACCTACTGAGTTAAATCTGCATTTTAAGAAGATCCTGGGTAATATACGTGCACTCTAAGCTGGAGAGCTGCTGATACAGGACTCAGCGATGGGCTGTGGTCAACGCATAAGCCAGATGCCTTTGTCTCCGGCGCCCACCCACCCCAGCCTCACCCTTCAGGGTTGCAATGCCAACACCTCAGGGTCTCCGCTACAGCCACCCCACTTCCCAGGAGGGCCCCCCTTTGTGTCTGTTCTCCATCTCTTTCACCCACACCCATTTTCATAGACTCTGAAAACCAGCCTCAATGATTCTATGGCATCTTCTAACCAGGAAATGGCCAGAGGCACTGGAGTGTCCCAAACAGCGCTGAGGTGGGTCACGCACGAGTCATCTATAACTGCTGATCATTAAGGTATTGAAGACATTTGTGAAAGGTTTTCTTTGAAAGATCATATTCCTGAAAATATTTTAAAAGATAAGAGTTTAGATAGATGGATAGATGATAGATAGATGATAGATAAATAGATGATAGGTGAATGATAAATGATAAATAGATAGATAGATATAGATAATAGATAATGATAGATAGATGACAGGCAGATGGATGGTTGAATAGACAGACGGCCACAGCTTAGCCCTGATTCAACGTTGGTACCAACCCTGACCTTACTCTTACACTCTGGTATGCTCTTGTGAGTGGGAAGTGGCCGGTGGCACTTTAGCCCTTGAGCAGGGCCCTGCAGGTGACCTACCACCTGTCTTATCAGTGCCCAGGTCCAGATTCTCACACCAGGGATGAGGGTGCATGCATGCACCATTCTCCATCGTGCATGTCAGAGCAAGAGAGAGGTGGGCACCTTTGTAGTTAAACCTGTTATGGCGAATTCGGGAAACTAAGAGCTGTAGAGAAGGAGGACTTGCCCAAAGCCACCCAACCGAGCCTTGACCCCAGATCTCCTAAGTCCAAGCTTGTAGTCACCAAAGGGCCATCACCTTTTAAAAGCGGGACCCCAAAGACAAAGAAGATCTCGTCCCCGTGGTCTGCGATCAACGTCTTGGGTTTCAGGACTGATGAGAAGCTTAAGCGATGCTGAAACTCATACACATAGGTGGGGGCTCCAGCATCTGAGAAGACACGATTCATGCACAGTTCCTGTTACTAGATGCATACCTGGGTGGTATCGAGGCCTCCGGGGCCATGAGCATGCAGGCAACTAGTGTCACACCTGGGACCAGAGTACACAACAACAATATTAATAGCCACGGGCCGCGGTGCTGAGACCCGTGCAGCCCTGCAGGGAAGCCCTGGGAATAGGGAAA